TCAAAATTGACTAATTCATATTTAGAGAGTTGTTTTTTCTATTGAGTCAAAGTAAAATTTGTTCTTTTTGAAAAAGAAATTAAAAATCGGTTTTTAATATTTTAATTAATTAATAAATTAATTTTAAATAATCCACTAGTTTTGAAAGTTCAAATAAACGAAATATTTTTTATTAAAAATATTTTCACAGATTACTAATTGCATAGGTAATAAAAATTAAAAACTTAAATTTTAGATTTTAAAAATTAATAATTAATTTGTTTGATAGTGACACAAAATTACTACTGAAATAAAAATTTAATTTCAAGAAGAAATAAATAAATTTTGTTCATTTTAACGTTTGGAACTTTAGGATCGTAATTTTAATTATTTACTTGAATTGATTTTGTTAATTAACATTTAGGTATTTAATATTTTATTTATTTTGAAATTGACAATATAGTTTTTTAAGTTAACGTTAAATTTTCTTGTTTATTGAAGTTTATAGTTTGAGTAGTATTTTGAGTTGAAAAATTTTCTATTAAAGTTAAAAATTTAATGTATGACGAATTATAAATTATAAAATATAAATAGGAATTATAATTCCTATGGATAAATTCATTTGGAGACTATTTGAAAAATCGTGTTTATGATAATAACCCTGTCTTTCAGCACAATCAGCAACCTGTCTACAATCTTTCAGCAAATTATAATTGTAAAATAAATAAAAAAATTGATTTTGAGTCATCAGCATGGAAGTTTTCTTTATTTCATATTGTTATTATTATGTATCATGTATTATTATGTAATATTATGTATTATTATCATTTATTGTTTCTTCAGTGAATATTCATTGAAAGTCAGTAAAAATTTTACTGAATTTACTGATTCAAATTTAGAATGCAAGGACTTAAAAGCCCACGCAGAAAGTTTTGCGTTTGAAAGGTCCTTTAAAAGCCCAAAAGTAGGTTTAGTCGGTTACGTTAAAAATTCGGGAAGGTAGGAGTAAATTCTCCCTTCGATTTTAGTATGCGAATGTAGGTAGGGAAATCGAGTGCGAAAATTTTGCGTTATTTTATGTATACGTACACACACATGCACAAAAAGTGCAGTTTTGTTCAATTTTAATATGCCACTGTAGGTAGGGAAATTTTGCGGGTGTGAATACGTACATAAACAAAGACAGACACACTAAAACTGTATAACCACTGGAATACCAGTGAAGATATTATTTATAATTTGCATGAAATTTTATTATATTATTTATAATTTGCACGAAATTTATTATATTATTGATAATTTGCATGAAATTTATTATCCTTTATTATTTGTCACTATGTTGTTTCATATTTTGCTCTGACATTTATTTTTATTGTGAATTGTATATTTGAAAATTTGATATTGTGCTCCATTTATTTGGGCTCCATTAAGGGAAAGTCTAAATCGAATAATTTTTGCTATTTGTGTTTAATTGGCAAAGTAGATTATAATTAATTAATTTTCAAAGTAACAATGTTGCTTAATTCTTTTATTATTACTAATAATAATTATTATGATTGTACATATAATTAATTATACTTAATACTCTGATACTAACTTAATAATGTAATTAACAACTGAATAATATGATAGTAACTTAATATATTAATAATTTTATTAATATAGCCATAACAATAATGATAAGTTAATAACCATTTAACTTGACTTAACTTTTGATAGGTGAAAATGACTTTAAAATATTTGGAATATTTTTCAATTTGGGTCAATGTAAAATTTCGTGTTTTTTTCTTTCGGTACGTTTTTATTCGTAATCAATGAACAGCTTTGCCACTTTTTTGCATTTCGTTTAGCAATTCAGAGGTCGTTCATAAACTACGTAGCCTTCGTTTTTGGAAATTTTACCCCCCCCCCCCCAACTCACCTCCATTGTTACGTACAGTAACGCCATTTTTTTCTCTTATTGTAGTCAATAGAGCTTGACTTTCCCCTCCCTCTCAAAAGGCTACGTAAATTATGGACTACTCTTTATTAAAATTAAAAAGAATTGTCACCGTATTAATGACTTCACAGTTTTCCTTGAAAGTATCAAATTAATACCAAAGAGGATCAAATGAATACCAAAAGTGTATGATTTGATCCAGATTTTTGGTATCATAATTTGATACTTCCAAGTTGTGTTGTATTAAAACGGAGATTATGTAACATTAATGGAGTATTTTTTTTTTAAATTTGGTTTACTTATGTTTTTAAAAAAGAATACTTTTTGTAACTTTTAATTTTATTGAATGCTTAATTAATTGAGTATGAGCTTATTTAATATTCGATCAGATAATTGATTATATTTGCAATTGAATATGCAGTAAAAGTGAAGACAATTGGGTCAATAGTTTTCGAAAAAAGTGTACCGAAAGTTGATAATTTTTATTATTTCGACTTAGACGAGCCCTTATCTATTGAGATATTAGAATATTTTTTATCGTATTTTTGTTTTTTGTTTTATTCCATACAGCAACTGGACACGTGCGATCATCATCTCCAATATCATCATCATAATCATCATCATCTCCAGTATCACCTTCAGTATCATCATCATCTCCAGTATCATCTTCAGTATCATCATCACCACAATCAATTTATGGAAGATGTCTATTTCCGGATGCTAGTTTTGGCCTTTTTTTCCAAATGTGAGTAATGTTACTGGTGAATAAGTATTTTTTTATTGCGACAAATCTAATAGTCTTAAAGACTATTAGTTACATCAATATTGATTAAAAGTTAATTAATAATTAATTCCTCAATCAACCAATCATAAGCCGTTAAACTGGCTTTAATCATTGATTAACTTTTAATTAAGGTTGGTGAAATTAGCCCTGAGTACATTATTTTTGTACACATATTCGGCATAAGTATTTTGAATCATCAAAGCGATAGTGGTTACGTCTAATTAAAAGAATAAAATTTAGTAGGTAACCTAATAAGGTGTCACATTAGTAGGTTGTCTTCTATTAACCTTTTCTTAGGTATATTTAAAATTTTGTCAAATTATCAAAATTTTTTATCGATTAAAAATAGATAAAATTTTTGACATTTTCATCTATTTGAAAATTAATCCATTCAAATTTTGAATTAATTATTTCTAAATTATCTAAATAACACAGGGAATTTAACTAATAATTAGTCATTATTAGCTATTTTATTAGTAGAAATATTACTAACTGAATCAGTTACTGAATTTTTACTGTCAATAGTTATTAGTTAATTTTAGTTATTTTTAGTTATTTTATACTAGTTATTTTTAACTAATTAAAGTTAAAAAGAATCTTTAGTTATTGACAAAAAAAAATTAATTATTACCCCCAAAAGAAATATTATATTTGACTCAAAGCCTACTAAATTTTTTATTTTTATCTGGGTGTGAGATACAATTTATTTGACTATTTTTTTATGTAACAATCTTTTTGATATCTTTCTCTCTAAACTTGACTTAGTAGAATTCTACTTGCAAATAGTAAAATTTCACTAATTGTTAGTAATTTTCATGGGCGATTTTTCCCATTTTTGATTAGTAAAATATTATTAATTGATAGCGAAATTTTACTAATTTTTAGTAGAATTTCACTAATTGCTAGTGAGCCAATTCACTAAATAAATTAGTCAAACTGTTTTATGGATTTTTAATACAGCAATTTTACTAATTGTTAGTAAAATTCTGCTAACAATTATTAAAATTCTACTGACACAGTTTTTCTAAGGATATCAAATTTTGAATTTTATATCCTTAGAAAAACTGTGTGCTAGTTAAGCTTTATACCTTCTTTTTACTAATTTAAACACAGTTCTTGTAAGATTCTCACGTTGAGACCGTTATACACTTTAAATTTGAATTAGTAAAAATGTTTATTAATTTGAATCAGTGATTGACTGTTTGCTTTTGAATTAGTAAATTTTACTAATGAATTAACAGAAATTACTATTAGTGACTGACTTTTTGCTTTTGAGTTAGTAAATTTTACCAATAAATAGTAATTTCTACTAATTCATTAGTATAATTTAATAATTCAAAAGCAAAAAGTTAATCATTAATATAGTAATTGAGCTATAATTGCATATATTGCTATATTGCTATATTGCAGCGTGCAATAATAACAGCTACGCTCGGGCTGTCTTACTCAAACGGAATATCTACTTCGATTTGCGTAGAAGTGGAAAGAATCTAGCCCGAGCGTAGCTGCTGTTATTGCACGCCGCTTCTCAATTTCTACTAATTTATTAGTAAAATTTACTAATTCAAAAGTCAGTCACTGGTAAATTATAGTAATAACTAGTCATTTCTACTGATTCATTAGTAAAATTTACTAACTCACAAGCAGAAAGTCAGTCACTAATTCAAATTAGTAAACATTTTGATTAATTCAAATTTAGAATGTATAGCATCAAAACGTTGCATTGCAACAATTTTTGTTTTTTTATGTCTCAATTTGATATTTTTGAAAAACTGTGGATTTAAAGAGTTTTTCGGAATAGAAAGAAAGAAATTAAAGAAAAAGTATACCGCGATTTGAGAAAAAAGAAGTGCAGCGAACATTTCTTAAAAAAGTTTAGGATTTATATATATATTAGGATTCCTAATTAGTTTTAGAAGGAATATGTTAAATTAACCAGGATTTATTGTTGATATAGGAGGGAATTGTTAATTAATCGTGAGTTGACTAGGATTCATAGTTGATTTGGTTATGGAAATTTTAGTTGATTCCTCTCGTAACTGTGGTGCAAATTCATTCGTTTAGGAATTTTTTTTTGTAGTAGTTGGTGTGAATGACACTATTATAAAAATTCAGTATAATCTTGAGAAAATTGTCATTTCAAAAATTAGGAAAAAAATTTTTTAATTTTTAATTAAAGTTTAGTAATGAAAATCTAAGGTTTTTAGTGCGGGGTTTCTCGCGGGAATAGTATAGAGAATATTGTGTGTTTGCGGTATGAAGGCGGTGGAGCTTGTCGAGAAGCGCGAGCTACGGAGTCAAGCAAGCAGTGCACGCCTGGCTGCCGACAGGAGCGGGTCGCTCGCATATAGCCCTGTCTGTGATTTTCATTCTGTCATATCAATAAATAAGTCTTCGGTTTTGTCAGCGTGTGTCAAGTGTCAAAAGAATAATTTTTAAACGCAAGACTATTAAATAAAATAATAAATTTATTGTTGACGGTGTTGTCTGCGTTTCGTGTGTCTTTTTATTGGACGAGATTTAAAAAAAATTTTTTCCAATCCTTTTTGTTTTCATATATATTATTTCTCCTCTCGTTAGTTACGCTCAATAAATTGAAAACTCCCTCCCCCAATTTCCAGTTTGATAAGCATCTTCTATTTATAATTAAAAAGCTCTTTTATTCGAGAATTAACATTTTTTGCTCGTTGTTACCTCGTTTTTTTTCTTGTTTATGTATAAATGTGTGCCACCAGTGTGTGGTGTGATCAGCTGATTCCAAGTGTAAATATCAATTTATCACTTGACAAGTGTTAAATGGTGATTTTTTTCAAACATCATCGAGTCATTGTCATTTCATTCTGGACCAAGTGTCAATCTCAGTGTTTCCTCGAACACTTATCAGTTTGAAAATATGCTGTGAACGCGACATTGGACGGACGGACGAGAGTGTTCTGTCTGTCTGCAATCGCATTTGAAATAAATTTTTAAATTGTCGAGGCATACTTGTTAAGTTTAAGTGATAACTTTTGATAAAATCACTTTTTATTTTTTTCCTTTCTTTTCCTCTCGGGACGCACGTGTCAGTGAATAGAAGCCGGTCTTGTGGAAAATCTCCGAGGAAAAGAAAAGATATTGCAAAAAGGAATTTTTGATAAATTTCCAATTTTGTTAATTTGGTCGAATTTTGGATTGTAACGAAAGGAACCGGTGTTGGGTTTTGCAACTTGGTTGTCACGTGTAAAGTCGAGCGCAATCGTAAACACAACCTTCACGAGAAGGAGTTATCGTGCTTTATATATTTTGTTACTCGAGAGATTAAAATTTTTTATGATGATGATGATTAATGAGTGCTGATCAATCATTGAAACTCGAATTTCGATGATTTGTTGATTTGACAATTTTTTATTTATTTTGTGATTATTGTGAAAGGAAAAAATTATAAAGACAGTTGGAGACTATATATTGTCTTCTGTGATCTCTTTTTTCTCTCTGGACATTTCGATGGTGGTTTCCTGTTTTTCTTATTGTTTAATGTCACAATTCTTGAGAGTTCCTTTTGTGTTTAGTTGACTATCGGGAAAATTGTTGGACGGAATTTAGCGATAAACAGAGTGAAGAGAATCTTGAATTGTGTTTGTAGTGAAGTGTCTAGTGTCAGTTTATCTTGATGACGTGTTGACATTACGAGGCAGCCTTGCGAGCATGGAATTTTAGAGATAATCGGTGGTTAATGACCTGAGGATTAAATACAAGTAGTTGACTTAAAAAAAAGCACACATAGCTAAAAACCGAAGAGCACAGCTTCGGTGAGTTTCTATTATTTTCATTATTTATAAATAGGCAAGTTTATTTAAAAAATGTTGCTGTTTTTTTTCGCTTTGGTGTAAGTAATTTATAAATTAGAGAAAGATTAATTATATACATTTTTATAAATTAGATTCAGTGAGAAAAAATTGTTATAAAATTTTGGAAAATGTTTTATATAGTTTGTTTATAAAGATTGTGAAGTTTTTAATAATGTAGGGAAAATTTGTTAAAAGAGCAGTCTCGAATTTTCTTTTGGACCATTCTTGAAAATTCTAGAAAATGAATGAAATATTGTAGAAAATTGAAAAATCTAGAAAACAGTTTGAATGTAAAAAAGTAATTTGCTTCTTTAATTTGTTTTATTCCATTCGTTTTTAATCATTAATTGTGTTTGAATCAGTGTTTTTGTAAAAAATTTGAAAAGTTAAATTTTTCATTTTAGGAGTTACTTGAATTAATAAAAATAGTTTCGATCAATTTTATAAAGATAATAAATTGTTATTTAAGGGAATATTGTGGAAATTTCGTTTTAGAGTCCTTTTATGATTTTTACATTTCAAATTTTATAATTTTCATATTTAGTAATTTTTTTAGGAAGTTACGATTGGAAATCCGCTAGAATTCCGATTATTTTCTGTTTGTAAATATTGAAAAAAGTATTTTTTATGTGTCTGATATTTCTAGTAACTTTTTTTAAAAAGAAATATTCTTCAGAATTTTCACTGGAATAACTTGAAAAAACTACAGAAATTTTTTTGTAAATAATAACGAGAAACAGATTTTCTGAAACTTGAAATAAGTTGGGAGTTGATGAAAACCTGAGAGTATTTGACAGATCGAAAGAAACATGAAGTTTGTAAATAATGAAAAATGTTTTAATATTTTATTTGCTTCTTTATTTTCAAAGCTATGTTATCAATTTTATGACAAAACTTAGTTGGTATTTTAATTTGTCAGTTTTTACTAGAATATAACAAAAAATTATTTTAAAAATTACTCTCAAAAGTTCTATAAAATATTAATCGATTTTATCAAATTTGACTTTATAGTTTATTTGAAATTTTGTTTAAAAAATTAGTTTTAAAACTAAATTAGAAATAAAGAGAATTATAATCGGAATTCTGCCTAATTCTCCAATTGGAATTTTCTGGAAATATTTTCCAGTGGGTGTGATTTTAATTTTTAATCTCGTGATTTTAAATCACGTGAAGTAGTGAAGTTGTAAAAAGAAAATTAAATAAAAGTTTAATGGTTTTAATTTCAACTAAAACTTTGTAACAGTAATCGGTGAAAGAAATCTGCTTTCAGAAAATTGTAAGAAAAAGTATGTTTTTTGTTGTAATAAGTCAGACGATTTTTCTTTCTTAAAATAAGACTTTTTTAAATTAATTTTCATGTCCTTGTCCATTTTTTGTATTAGTGGAAATACTTTTTAAACGAAATAAACAAATAAAGTAACTTTTACTACTTTTATATAGTGAAATCTTAAATTACAATTTACTCTAAAAATAATAAGAATTAGAAAAATTGTAAAAAAAATTTAATAAAAGTAGTAAAAAATAAGAAAGTAAAAATAGTAAAAATAAGAAACTAACAAAAATGGTAAACATAAGAAAGTAGTAAAAATTCAAGATATTAGAATGTAAGAAAAATAGTGAAAATAAAAAGTAAAACAACAGAAAAATAGAAAGTAAAAAATAGTAAAAAATTTCAATTATTAATTTACTTTATAAATAGTAGAAGTTACTCTATTTTTTCGCGTAGTTTACTAGTTAAAATATTTACGGAAAAAGTTTTGCTTGGAACAGCAATAAATTTACGATGTTGAAGTCCACAACGTTGATCAACGAAAAAAATTTGTTTCATCTATTCGAATATTATTTTTAATTTAATATTTAATTGTATAACAATTATTATCAGAACATAAACATCAATCTATTTTTTCTAAATATTGTTGTGTCAATATTGCTGCGATATATTTTAATAATTTATTAAGTAAACAATTTTTTTCGTTGATAAACGTTGTGGACTTCAACGTGGTTAAATTTCTCTAAAATAACGAAAGTTTTATTTTGAAGCAACTAAAAATTTCACTAATCTAGTGAAATTCATAGCCGTTCCAAGTAAAGTCTTATTTCCGTGTTCTTTTTTTTTCTTTTTTTTTTTCTTTGATTTGATTATATATAAATTTGATTTTCGAATTTAAATAATACCTTTCTCACACATGATGACAATTGTAAAATATCTATAATAATAATGACAATATAAATATAGACGGGATAAATATTAGATTCTATAGTTTGGTTGATTAGCATGGGAATAAATCTTTTATTTACACTTGTCCATCCGCGGCAATCAAGTTAAAATTGAAAAAGTTTTACTTTTAATAAACAGTTTATGAATATGAGGCAAGAGTATTAAACGATGGACTATTATAATGTTTGAGTGTGTATGCGCGTTGGTGAAATAATGATAATATCATGCGTATAGTCTATAGTATTATAAGATATATACATATATATATATATATATATATATATATTTTTTTTTTAGATGTATGTGTATATCTAATATGTCTGTATAGTATATATCGTCACGCTTGGAAGTTTTACACCAAGCTTGAAGAGTTATCAGACAGAGCTTGGGAGTCGACGAACTTTGATCGATCTTGGGCGTATTCCGAGTACCTATACTCATGATGGCACACGTACCAGGCTGCCTCCTTATTCGACGCTTTAATAGTTTACATTGCATTTTCATGCATTGCCTTGAGCGACGGAGGCACCTGACACCAAACGTGGCACTTGTGAACCTTGATTCACCTTGCAAACAAAAGTAGTTCCTAACACCCACACTCAATTTTCACAATTTCCTCTTTCAATAAAATTGGTCTTTTTCGATCTTGAGATATTGAAATTGAATTTTCTTTCTAGAGAATAAAGAGTTGTTAATACAGAACTAAGAAATTTTGTTTTTTTTGTGATTGAAATGATTTATTTTTATCTACTACTAAAATTTTTATTTGTTTCAAATAAAGTTTATCTGGTACAAATAAAATTTTTATTTGTTTCAAATAAATTTTTTCTGGTACAAATAAAAATTTTATTTTTGTTGAATTGTGGAGCAAACAATGTTTTTAAGGAAGGTTCTGATTTTTAAACGTTTAATTTAAAAAAAAATTGTTTATAACGGAAAAATTGATGGAGAATTAGGGTTCGTTGATTATTTTTTTAGCTTTTTTTTTATTAGTAGGAAATTGTTCGAAATTTTACGAATTTGGAATTATTAGAATTAATTTAATTTGCTTTTTAGGGTTCTAATTTGATGGTACTAGTTGGTCGCCTAAGTTCAAGATTTCCAATTAAATTTTTATTGTTAATTAGTTGGAATTGTTTTTGCTTGAAATTGCCACTTCAGTTAGCATTTGAATCTAGAAACATTAAAGTTATGATTTTTTTATTATTTAGATTATGATTTAATGACATAAGTACAAGATTTTTAATTGATAGGGTCCGAATGAATAAAAGATTATTGTAAAAACTATGTAAGTTGCAAGTGACGGTCTGAATCAAAGAACCAGTTGTAATTTTTAAAGAATAAAAATTCTAGATCTCTAAATAAAAAATTGATTCAAAATTTCCATTCCTTGTAAGCATTTCGTGTTTGTATAAAGATTACGAGAATGTTCCCCCAAAGCTGTTATTTAAATTCTTTTTAATGCTCGATTTACTGGACAATGATTTTTAGCTGAAAAAAATTATAACCTGTTATTTGATCAGGACATTCAGTTACAATAATTTCTCTAGAAAATCATTTAATAAAATCAGGAAATATTTATAGAAATAGTTATAGAAACAGTTATGGAAATTGTTAAATATATATAGTTAGAAATAGTTATTGACTTATAGAAATAGTTATTGAATTATAAAAATCGTTATTGAATTAGTAAAATAGTTATTAAATTATAAAAATAGTTATTAAATCATAGAAATAGTTACTGAAGTATAGAACAAATAATTATATTCATTCGTGATAATTAGTTGTTTGTAGCAGATTTTTGTAAAACGATTGTAAAGGCAAGAGTCATTTTAAACTCGCATCAAAAGTGTGCTGCAACACACTTTTATGCAAATTATCTAATATCTGTGACCATTTAACCGAAGAAAAGTGAGCAGACATTTTTTTTCTCATAAAAGAAATGTTAAACGATTATCCGGGCGCTCTGTACTGCTTAATTAGCCCGCGTTGCTTTCTCAGGGGCATGTGAGGATGAATTATGGTCGTCTCTTTAAGTGTAAAAAGACTCTCTTTCTATCTGTCAAATCTTTAGAGAGATTAAGGTAGAATTTTGTCTTTTTTTTCGTCACTAAACTCTGCTACGAAGCGAGGTGTGAAGGAAATGAAAGTTATATATCTTCAATGCTCTTTTGATATTGCCGCATAATGAAATCGTTTTGGATCTGTAATCAATTTTTTTTCTATACACATGAAAAAAGGAAAATTGAACTCAGTCAATTTTTGAGACTGAATGTGGAGAGTTCAAGACTTTTTGATTTTTTTAAGATAATTTGGATCTTTATTTGTTGGGGGCTTTTATTCATTATGTGTATTTTTATATCCACTTCTCGAGTCATCAAACTCGCGTATAATAAGATCATAATTTTTGTGACAAGTCGAAATTTAAGAAAGAAAGAAACAATAAAACCTGTTTTTATCAATTTAATATTTGTGTCATCTTGATTAGATATTTTCGTTAATCAGTGACAGTATTAAATAAACAGTGTTTTTGTTTCCGTAGTGCTGGGAATTTTATTGCTTTGACGTTATAAAGAAGTAGAGAAAAAATAGACACACCTTATATTCATCGTTCTTATCTCGAATCATCGTTAAAAATAAGAGAAATTTTTTTGATTATCTGAGATTTAAATTATATGGTGATATAGCAGCATGAGGTGAAATCATGTTGAGATCGAAGGAAATTATATATTGATATTCTTTT